GGATTTCTTGCCCAATGTTTCCTTATCCAAAGCCCCCGCCGCATCAAGATCGGGGGGAAGGGGGGGAAGAGCCATGCAGCATACGTGCCAATGCGCAGCACAAGTGGTGCAACATGTTGTTGATGTATGGTAGCATGGTGGAGTCCCGTTCCCATCAGTTGGGAAGCTGGCAGTTTTCATCATCAGGAGTTCATACGGAAGAACATCAAAACATATTTGCGGCCGTGCCTCCATCCCGCAATGCAGCGGGGCTTGCTGCCCTCAGGTGGAGATGGTGAGCTTCCGTCTCCCCGACTCGCCGGGGATCGTCCCGTGACGATCCCAGAAGCATAGCAACGAATGCGCAACTTAGTGTCTTTCTATGTTTTCGGCTCTGCAGGGACGAAAACGAATTGGCTGCGGGAGCCTTAGAGCCAGGATGGCCCCAGAGTCCGCCAAGATGCCCTCAAGAGGCCCTCGGAGGCATCATCCAGTATCGCTTAACCCATGCCTGTCCACATCTCCATCCCCATCCCGATCCCCACCAGCCCACCCAGCCCACCACAGTTGGGGATATGCCTCTCGAGGCTCGAAGGGAACCGCCTGCATCCCCATGAGGGGGGCACATCGGCCAGTGGGGCCCAGGCCACGCCTGTTGGGATATGTTGGGATAGGGATCGGTTCAACGATACTCAATCGAGAGGAGGAGGGAGGAGGAAGGAGGAGGAGATGAGGAGGAGGAGGAGGAGAGGAGGAGGGAGGAGGAGGATGTATTCGGAAGGCGAGGAGTGAGGAGGAGGAGGAGGAACCTGAGGAGGATAGCAGGAGGAGTAAGAGGAGGAGGAGGAGGAGGAGGAGCAGCAGGAGGAGGGGAGGGAGAGGAGGGGGAGCACAGGAGGAGGAGGAGAGAGAAAGTAGGAGGAGGAGGAGCATTATGAGGAGGAGGCAGGAGGAGGAGGAGGAGGAGGAGAGGGAGAGCAGGAGTCCGTAGGAGGAGGAGGAGGAAGGAGGAGAGGGCAGGAGGAAGGAGGAGGAGCAGGAGGAGGAGAGGAGGGAGGAGGAGGAGCATGAGGAGGATGAGGGGAGCAGGAGGAGGAGCAGTGAGGAGGAGGAGAGAGGAGGAGAGGAGCAGGAGAGGATGAAGGAGGGAGGAGGAGGAGGATTGGAAAGGAGAGGGGAGAGGAGAGTCCCATGCAGGCAGGGGGCCTCCCACCCCGCCGAGAAGACCCCCCTGCCGCGGAGGCAGGGCCACGCTCGGCCGCGCCTCACGGCCAGCCTCTCGAGCTCCTCCTCCGATGGCGGGGGTTTGTTGGTCGAGGCCCGCCGCCCGTCGGCAGGATCGCAGGATCCCTCTGACGGCACGCAAAAGAGTGACCCTTCGCAGGAGTGGCCTTCGTTGCTGGCACAGTGGGGCCCGCCCGTGCGCCGAGTGCCATGCGGTAGCTGCGGCCTGCGCGCCTGGCGTGGTTCCCAAAGGGCCCCCCCCCTTGGCCGCGCACGACGTGGCCGAGCCCTGCGGTCATGGCGCTGAGCTGATTACCTCTTGGGGCTCATGAGGGGCGCGTTTGGTCGGGCCGTTCCTTCTATAGTAAGCCTATCGGTGGGGGAACCTGTGCGTGGCTCGCCGTGGCCCGAGGAGCCCCTTCCTTGCTGGGAAGGCCTGGCGGCCAGTGCCGCCGACCCTGAAGGGGGACGGCGACGACGACGGCGGCTGCGGCGGCGGCTGGCGACAACGACGCCGACGCTCTGGAGCCCTTCTTGGGGCTCGAGCCTCTCGCCCGGGCTGGGGCCCACGGCCGGGGTCGGGGCCGGTGCACGGGCTGGGCCCGGGGCCCGAGCCAGGGCTGGGGCCCGGGCCAGGGCCGGGCTTGGGGCGCGGGCGGGCTGGGGCTGGGGCCGGGGCCGGGGCCGGGGCCGGGGCCGCGGGCCTCGAGGGGGGCCAGAGCCGGGGCCGCGGCGGGGGGAGGCGTCCCACCGACAAAGAGACCACCCCTCTGCCACTGCCCCCCTTCAGGCGGGGGCTGCCCGAAAGAGGGGGTTACGACCCCGGGCCCCCCTCCGGGACCCCCCTCGTGACCCCCCCCCGCCCCCGGGGACGACGAGGACGATGACGACATCGACGACAGCGACGATTCAAACGGAAAATCGTGTCACACACGCCGAGCGGTCGGCGGATTCGGCGTTCCTTCTGGTACTACCTCGGTTGTGCCGAAGGAGCCCTACCGAAGGAGGCCTTTCATCTAACGTGCATTCTTTCCCATGCCGCTCCGAAGGAGGCCTACCAATAGTCATTCCGAGACACAACGGGTCTGGCACTTCAGGCACATGTTTTTGCTGACGAACACAGACCAGAGGATCTGTTAACTTATGGTTTGCCTTTGGAGCAAGTGTTGGTACGATCGAGACGACGCCGCTGCCCTCGGGCGGCCACTTGGGCTCCGTGCCGCCGGAGCCGCGGGGGGCGTGGGCGCCGGCCAGCCCTTCCAGCACAGGCCCCGCAAGGGCCCGGCGGCTTGGGCCA